TTGTTTCTCGCCGGCGCCTGGGATCGAACCCAGGACCACAGGATCACAAGTCTAGCGTGCTGTCCACTCGGCCGACCGGCTCCCAAACTGGGTACTGCTAACCGGCGCCCACAACTACCGAGCAACTTTCTAAAGCTGAACCTCAGGGATATGTACACTCACGAGGACCTAGCAAGGGGCTCCACCCGAAGAAATCCGTGCGCAGGTCAGGCACAAAAAAGGGGAAAACAAGGCAGACCCCCCACAAGGCAAAAAAAAAACAAAAAACAAAAAAATGCAAGAGGACAACGCACCCCAAGGAACAGAGCCAGCCGCTGTGAATGGTGACAAATAGCTGCGCAATACCCTGTGGCCTAAACCAGTGCAAAACTGCCTCTTACCCTAAGGTGAACAAGGAAGAAAAAAAAAACAAGTATCCAAAGGGCAGCCAAAAAACCGAGCAGTAAAACGGCCCAGCAGAGGCAGGTTCCAAGGAACTTGTGGAAGGCAACCCCAAGCTCCAAGGGCAGTACTAACAGGGCACCTAGAGATGATAATCCTAAGCACATGCAGCCCGAGTACTGTAGAATGACTCCTGGCTCTTGCACCACTGGAAAACAGCCACCACACGCAAAGCACAGTGCTGGACACACTGGGGCCAAGCACACGACCTCCGTCTCTAGCATCAGCCTTAGAACTGATGGGTGGATAGCTGGCATGGGGGGGTCTGGGGCTCCCCCTTCCCCCTCCCGGGGAGAGGGAAGCTGCTCAGACAGCGCCGCGGCGACGTGTGATGTCATGCTCATTTGTGTGTTTCTTTTAAGGGAGTTCTATCCACTTATTCGGCTTTTGGTAGCAATAATTTTACGAGAATAGGGATTTGTTTTGGGATGCTTACCTTTCTGGGTGCCTGACCCGGTCGATGGCAGACATAGAATGCTTCCAACCACACGGGGGTGTCTATAGGCCATTGCTCCCCATGCCTCTCTGAGGGGGCCAGGTTCTGGCTCGTGGTCCCCAGTAGGCCCACAGAACTCCATACATATTTTTTTTTTTTTTTTTTTGAGATATATACAAGAGTTGTTACATTCTTGTACAGCCACTAGTACGCGTAGCGTTTCGGACAGGTCCCTGGAATACAATCCCTTGCCGCGAAGAATCGTTTTTTTCATCCAAGTACACATTTTACTGTTGCGTTAAACAGAGGCTACAGTTAAGGAATTGCGCCCAGTAAATCCTCCCCGGCCAGGATACGAACCCATGACATAGCGCTCGCGGAACGCCAGGCGAATGTCTTACCACTACACCACGGAGACTGATATGACTGATGCCAAAGTCTGACATTAGCATATCAGCCTTGTAAGCTCTGGGGAGCCGAAGGGGCTCCCCCAAGAAAACAAAAAGAAAATCCCCGCAAGAGAACAACGTACCCAGGCGGAACAGAGCTGGCCGCTGTTATTGGTGAAAACTAGCTACGCAGTACCCCCGCATCCCTACCAGTGACAAAAACCACCTCCTACCTTAGAGACAAACAAAAGCAACAAAACTCCAGCTGACTCCAAGGGCAGCCAAGTACCAAGCAGTAATGGACACAGCGAAGGTAGATCCCAAGGTGACTTGTGGAAACCTAAGGAAGGTGACCCCTAGGCTCATGCAGCCCCGAGTACGGTGGTATATGTCGCCTGGCTCACACACCACCTGTAGAAACAGCTCATCCCACAAGTCACAGAACTGAAACAAAACCGGAGCCAAAGGCACCCGACCAGCCAGTAATCACATAAGCCAAGAACTGCCGGTTGGATCGCTGGTGCTGAGGGTCTGGGGTTCCACCTTCCCCCCTCCCCTCCCAGGGAGGGGTGAATGAGTTCCGCAGACAGCGACGCGGCGACGTGATGACGTCATGCTAGTTTGCTAATTTTGTTTGGGGAGTTCTGTCCACTCGTTTGGCTTTCGGTAGCAATATTTTCACCAGAATAGGGATTTGTTTTGGGGCGCCTACCTTTCTAAGTGCCTATCCTGGTCGATGGCAGACAGAATGCTTCCAACCACATGGGGGGTTTCTATAGGCCATTGCTCCTCGTGCCTCTCTGAGGGGGCCAGGTTCTGGCTCGTGGTTCCCGGTAGGCAAGAACTCCATGCACTTTGATGCCAGAAAGTTATACATATCCATTCAGCCAGGATACTTTAGGGGAGCAGACAGGGCTCCCCCCCAGAAAACAGCGTTGAGTGTAATGAAATGCCATTTTTCTGTGTGAGACCTGGAGACTCCCTAGAGCTACACTGGGCTGATGTGTATATATTAGACAGTGGCAACAGTCAATCTATTGAGTTCTAGGCCTACCGAAGATCAGCGTCAGAACCTGGCCCCCTCAGAGAGGCACGAGGAGCAATGGCCTAAAGACACCCCCCAAGTTGTTGGAAGTAGTCTATGTCTGCCATCTACCAGGTCAGGCATGCAGAAAGGTAGGAATTCCAAAACAAATTACAGCTGGTTAAAAATTGCAAACCGAAAGCCAAACTAGCAACAGAACTCCCAAATCAAAAACAAGCAAACAAGCATGTCTCCACAACCGCCATGCCGCTGTCTACACAACTGGGGGGGGGTGATTCCCGGACCTCCCGAACCGGCTACCCAACATCAATTCAGAGGCTGAATATCAAAAATGCGAAGAAAACAATGACTGGAGGGAGGGATGACGGGAACCTCCGGGTCTCACCCAGAAAATGGCGTTTCATTACATTCAACGCTGGTTTTCTGTGGAGAACCCCTTCGGTTCCCCGGAGCTACCTAACCAAAGATAAAGAAAAAGTGGGACTTAGGTGGAGAGCCAAGAGATGGAAAACCAAATGGAGAGACGAAGGCGCGGAACCCAAAGGAACCTGGAAATGAACCCAGGGAGGAGCCGAACCCATATCAAACTCGTACAGGGAAGGTGGATAACTCATACCCGAAAACCCGAACCCCTGCAATAGCAAACCCCGCCCCAAAGTCACCAAGGCCCAGGCAGTATCAAAAGGGGCCCAAACACCCCAGGCCGACTCCTCCCTAGCCCCAAAACCTCAAAACCAGGCTCCTAGGCAGAGCCGACCTCCATGCCCTCCACCCCTTGAAGAAAAGGCAAAGTCCAGGGAAAAGGCATCAAAGAAAGGGGTCTGCTAGTAAGACCTAGAAGCCTCGGTGGGAGGATCAGGGTCAAAAGCCTCCATCCTCACATCAAATGAGGCACCCCATAGAGCTGCCCGAGTCTCATCCCACCCTGAACCCCACCCGGACTCCGAAACCCTTAGATGTTTGGGAACCGGCAGAAAGGGGAGAAGGAGCAAGGTGAACCACACCAACAGGGAAAGGACTCAGGGGTGCAGACTGAACCAAAGACGAAGTGACCAACGCCCCCAAGTCTGGGTCCCTAAAACCAAAATAGGGCAGCTCCAGGGCATTTGAGTGGGCAACCAACTTAGTGCATTGCAACAATCTAAACCTAGCATGCAACACGAAAGCCATTTGACCCCCTAACATCTCCAGACGAAGAATGGGTAAATTGGATAACAAGCCAATTGGTCGAAGGTGTCATCAACCCAACAAGCAGCATGACAGAGGCAAAACAGATGATTGTCACCCTGAGACAAGGGCAACGAACAATCCTCAAACTCGCACAAGGCGAGATGCGACTTGGAAGACATATCCTTGGTCATGTGAGCCCTGATGGGGGCTTCCAGGGCCCGAAGAGGGAGGTGTCCCTATGGAAAGTCCAGGCACTGGTGTTGCAAAGCCGGTTGAACCCCGTCTATATACTGGGCAAACTGGCCCCAGTGAAGGAAGCAACTTTGGGGGCCGAGTGGAGGACTACCAAACGGAACCTAGACGTGCCTAATGGGAAGCCAGACAGCCCTCCACCAGGCAGTAAAGAAACTAAATGAATGTAAAGGAACCCCAAAAGTGCTCCACAACCACAGGAGTCCAGAGAGAATCACAGTCGCGGCTTGTATGCGAGCTGAGTAGCACCGTGTGCCCCAACCAGCTACAAACACTCCCTACCAAGGGCCACAAAAAGCACCAAGACCACTGCTGACCACAAGGGCGAGGTCAATATCAAGCGACAGCAACCCCTACGAGTGAGAACTGGAAAACCCCCGGAAAAATAACCCTGAGGTCCGGATGTACTTACAGGGCGCCTAGGGAAATAGACCTAAGTGCATGCAGCCCGAAGTACTGGTACTCTTGGACACCACCCCCAACACATGGCAGGTACAACCACTAGTGGCAAAATTCTGACAGGAAACGGCAGCCAGAGTAGACGTCACCTCCAGCCGGCTTTAGTAAACGAACTGGCGGTCTAGTGGCCGGCTCGGTTGGGTGGGGGCCTCCCTCTTCCTTCCTAAGGAGGGGGAGTGATGGTGTGTCGGATTGATGACGATTTGCTTGTTACCTTGTTTTTATTGGGGGGAGTTCTTAGACTAGGTTCGGTCTTGGGTTGCAATTTTCTACCAGTTGGGGTCTGTTTGGTGGGTGCTTACCTTTCTGGGTGCCTAGCCCCAGTTGATGGGAGGCATGAATATACTCTCAAAAAAAGTTGAGTTTTCAAAGGCCATTGCTCCCTTCGCCTCTGAGGGAACCAGGTTCTGGCTCATGGTTCCCGGTAGGCATAAGGACTCCGTATGACTGAAGCCCTAGACTAATATAGCTAATATCAGTCCGATAGCTCCAGTGAACCGATGGGGTTCCCCCTCAGAATACATATTTAACAATTAACACAAACTCTCATCTGTTTCCATGGTGTAAAGATTTTGTAATTCGGCTTCCTCAAACTAAACAGGTACTTGTATAGGCATGAGAAATTATGATGAGAAAAAATTGCATGATTTAATTACAAAATAATTACACCAAAAAAAATCTGTCATCTTGCTGCTGTTATTATTTGGGAAGTACCCCAGTAAACTCACTTTTTTCATTCTAAACTGTCATTTATACAACATGATACTCAGCACTATACAGAATACTTAATCTACAGCTATTACTATACCTGCATATGTGTAACTCCGAGTTCATTATTAGCTATGTGCCTGAGCTGTGATCCAAGAGTCGCTGCACGCTCCAGTAGTGGAACACCACCGCCTAGTACACTAGCTGCCTTCCCATCAACACTTCCTCCAGGTGACAATCTGTGCAAATACATACACTTTCCATGAAGATGGATAAGCAATCACTTTCTTATGCAGTGGAACCTCGACTTACAAATGCCCCTACTTATGAATTTTTTGAGTTATGACCCCAATTTCATCTGAAAATTTTACTCAACTTACGACCTTTACCTCGACTTCGACGTGGTTGATAGATGTATGGGTCGACAGAGCATGTGGTTCCTGGTGGCATGGACAACCCTGCTTCAGTTTACCAGACTGCCTGCTTAGTGATGATCGTGCTTGAATTCCTTGCAAAGAATTTCATTGTTTTTCAGCTTTTTTGCTATCTAAACATAAAAGTAATTAATATATATACCATGCCATGAGTTCCTCAACAACTAAGACGTGGTGTGCAGTATGGGAAGAAATGTAAAGTTTTGTTGAAACGACTCGCCCAAATCAAACTGTAGTAGACCATTGCCTTTACCTTTTCAATGACACTGTGATGCCTCACTACAGACAAATGTTAAAATGTAGGGAAAAACAAGTCTCTATGGAAAGGTTCTTAGTGAAACAAACAAGCAGTGAGCCACAACCAGGACCTAGTGGTATGTAGGCAAAACGTAGCAGAGTGTACCCCAGAGAAGTCATCACTGCCTGATGTTATAATGCAAGGGGACTCCCCCTTCCAAACACTAACACCGCTCCTCCTCCAGTAAGGAGGGGGTCCTTACTGTCTTCCATATGCTAACAAGTCATCAATAAAGGTAAGCTATAACTTGTACATACTATAGTGCAAAATATTTGTGTTTATTATGTATAAAATGTATTTTGAAGTTAATATTTTGGGGAGTGTGGAACGGATTTATTCAATTTACATTATTTCTTATGGGAAAATTTGTTTCGTGTTACGAATTTTCGGATAAAATTCGAATAAAACTCTGGGAACGGAAAAGATAACTGTTAATTCGTAAATGGAGGGGCCACCGTATAACATCTAATTATACATTATACAATGTACAAATTCACTGCACAAATTCTCCATGTCAAGATATCAGCTATCAAAGACACTTGTATAAAGTTAATCAACATAATTTGGTGATAAGATCAAAGCAAAGCCTGACCTGGGTTCCAGGCTCAGGGAGTAGAAGAACTCTCGAAACCTTCTCCAGGTATGCTCCAGATAGCAATGAATATAACTTCTATATGACATCCAACTTTGAACCTTACGAATTCACCATAAAATGCAGTAAATCTCCCACAATAGCTTTTTTTTGTATGTTTTATATAAACAAGCTTCATTTGGATTAAATTTCCTTAAAAATACACAATAAATAAGGTGGTTTAACCACCGCACTGCACAGAGCACCTCAGGGCACTCATAGATATAGCGGAAGATTCAAAACTGGAGCGGGGTGACTCGGGTATGAAATACAGGGGTACCTCAGTTTAAGAGTTTAATTCGTTCCTGGAGACGGCTCGTATTCCGAAGCTAATTTCCCCATAAGAAATAATGGGAAATGAATTAATCCGTTCCTGACTACCTCAAAAACCCCACATCAAACTAAATTTTTATACGTAATTCATCTAAATAAACCTACAAAACTATGTTCAAGTTATTACTTACCTTGCTGTTGAATGCTGTAGGCGTATTTAAGATGGTGAGGAGGGGGGAGGAGGAGAGGAGTTACTGTTTGGAAGGGGAGTCCCCTTCCATTATCATATCAGGCAGTGAAGACCTTTCTGGTGTGCTCTCCCTGGCACGTTTTTTTCTGAGTGCCACTAGGTCCTGGATGAGGCTCACTGCTCGATTTTCAACTTTGCAGTTCTTCCCATACTTCACACACTTTCTTAATCAAGAAGGGACATCCTCTACTACCTCTACTCACAGCTATTTTCTTAGGTTGAACCTTATCAATGGCTTTCTTGAGACCCATGGCAAAATATATAACAACTACTTTTATGCTCAAATGGCCAAAAAAAACGACATAAAACTGTAATCCGTCCAATTCTTGTCCCAAGCTAAACCCTGCCCCAATTCCAAAACCCTGCCCCGATTCCAAAACCCTCAGACCTTTCTGAGCTGGGAACAGGGGAGGGGGGAGCAGCAGGGCTAACCAGGCCCACTGGAGAAAGAATCAGGGGAGTGGAAAAAATCAAAGTCGAAGTAACCAACACCCCCAATTCCGAGTCCCTAAAAACCAAAACGGGGCAACTCTGGGGCATCCAAGCGGGAAACAAACCAGTTGAGTTGCAACAACAAGAACCTACCATGCAACACAGCTGCTGCTTGACCCCTAATGTTCTTCCGAATAAGAATGGGCAATGTGGATGATGAGCGGGAAATAAGTCCCGCACGACTCCGGGTCGTAGGTGTCACTGACCCATCAAGCAGCATGGCGGAGGCAGAATAGATGATCATCACCCTGAGACAAGAGCAATGAACAGCCCTCAAACTCACCAAAGTGAGTGGGGACTCCGAAGACACATGCATAACCACACCAAGCCCTACGGGGTTTACCAGGCATCGCAGGAGAAAACCTGACAAAAAGGCCAGGCACTTGTGTAGCTGAAGCCAGTTGAACTGCATCTAATACCAGGCAAACTGAACCCAGGAAGCCATGCATGCAGCCTTGAGGGCCCCAGAGGAGGAGCACCAAATACAACCTAGGCTAACCTAATCAGAAGCTATCTTGAGGTTATCTTGAGATGATTTCGGGGTTTAGCATCCCCGCAGCGCGGTCCTCGATCAGGCCTCCTTTTTGTTACACATCCCCAGGAAGCAGCCCATAGCAGCTGTCTAACTCTCAGGTACCTATTTACTGCTAGGTAACAAGAGCATCAAGATAAAAGAAACTTTTTGCCCATTTGCAGGCGATGAGTCACAATAACGTGGCTGAAGTAGTTTTCACCAGACCACACACTAGGTGAAGAGACGACAACGTTTCGGTCCGTCCTGGACCATTCTCAAGTCGATTGTGAGAATGGTCCAGGACAGACCAAAACGTCGTCGTCTCTTCACCTTCTAGTGTGGTCTGGTCAATTTTTGCCCATTTGTCTCCGCCTCCACCGGGGATTGAACCCGGAACCTCAGGACTACGAATCCGAAGACTGTCCACTAAGCTCTCAGGTGCCCTGTGGAGGCACACACCTAGGCACACCTCCTCCAGGAAATAAAATAAAAACCTGAAACCCTCAAAAATACACCACAAACAACCAGAGGCTAGAGACACACAGCCACTGCAATTATGCAAGCTGCGCAAAACACTGTGCGCCCCAGCCAGCAACAACAACACTCCCTACCCAGGGCCAGACAGAGGAACACCTGGCGACCGCACAATATACACACACAACCGGCACAACCGCACAGGGTAAAATCCAGCAAGAGAATGAGATCAGAGGTAACGGCAGATCTATACGGCATCAGTCGACAAACTTCCGGCGTCAGCGCTTGGGGCTGCCTGGGAGGGAAAGGGGATTGCCAACGAGCGGGCACGCTGGTTGAATGGACATTTGCTTGTTTGTTGTTTTCTCTAGGGGAGGGGAGTTCTTAGCCTCTGTTTGGTCTTGAGTTACAATGTTTTACCAGTTGGGGCTTGTAATGATTCGCCTACCTTTTTGGGAGATACCCCTGGTTGATGGCAGACACGATTATACTCTCAAACAGTGGAGTGTTCATGAGCCATTGCTCCCTTCGCCTCTCTGAGGGAACCAAGTACTGGCTCGTGGTTTCCGGTAGGAATAAGGACTTCAGTAACTGATGCTCTAGACTAACATGGTAGATATCAGTCAGTTAGCTGCAGGGAGCCAACAAGCCCAATCAGAAAATATAATATTGGCAATGATGGCTATATTGAAACACTTAAAAAAATTTAATTAACCATGTGATTAAGCAACCTCCAAGAGACAGTTACTGTGCTCTAAAACCATGATCACACATTCCATTTATAGGATCTTACCTAAAAGTATGACGAAGGAAGCTTTGTTCCTGCATTTCTCTCAAAAGCTGTGGGTTATTAACATAAATTACTGGTTTAGCTTCATCACCCTCAACATGTGCACTCTCACTCTTGTCCAAACTTATACCAGAGCTGCTGCTATTATTGTTGACATCACTACTGTTCTCTTGTGCTACTGACTGTGAAACCCACAGCAGTAAAGAGACAGCCAGAGGAAAGAGTGTTGTGAGCAAGGCCGCTGTCGACCGCCCACTCCTCACAGCGTGGAACCGGCTTCTCATCTTTGTGACTCAGCTCCAGTCACTGCCATTAGCCATCACCTCACACATGCAGTTCCACATAACTACAGATGCTGAAAAATAAACAGCCTTCTTTATAACGTGCTATAGAGAAGGATAAGGGGTAATTACCAGGAGAAAACACTAAACCATTATGTCTAAATAACACTTGGAAAGGATATGAGGATAAGGATTTAGGATAGGATGGAGTGAAGGAATGATGCCCAACAACTTAAACGGTTGGGGATTGAACACTGACCTGCAATAGGCAAGATCGTTGCTCTATCATTCAGTCCAAGTGGTTCAGAAATGATGCTTTAAAACAAACCAGGTTTAAAAATTCTTAACATCTGTAAATTGTTGCACCCTAGTAATGTATATTAAATTATTATTAGGTCAGTATTTCTTTAATATGTAATGATATTACATATTTTTGCATAGTCGTTTTACATAGCGAACGACTATGTTCACCATAGTCGTTCGCTATGGTGAACAAAACATTCAGATACTTATATATACTTAAATAATGTCTGTATATAGTGAATAAATGCAAAAAACAGTATGATGGGAGGAGAATGTTGGTGAGTCAGGTGAGGTGAGATGAGATGAGGGGAGGGGAGGGAGTGGAAGCCAGTGGCGGGCTAGCTCGTGTTTGGTGGTCACTCCTTGCTGCTGTTTGACTCTGCATACCAACTTAGTGGTTCCTTATGGTGAACACAAATATAGATACTTATACATAATGCATATATATAGTGTAATGACAGCAAAAAGAGTGTTGGGAGAAGCCATTTTGCTGAGGGAGATGGTGACATCTGCATGACTTGTCATGCTGGGTAAGGGTGGCCACTATGCTCTTTGGGCACAATCCGGCTTAGTTGAAGAGTTATGGTGAACAAAACATGTAGATACTTATATATATAATGTGTGTATAGAGGGTAATAACACCACAAACAGTATACTTGAAGGAGGAATGTTAGTGCATCTGGCCTTGAACCAGTGAGGATGGGAAGGAGGGAGGGAGCAAGAGTTGTGTCGCCACCTGTTACTGTTTGTCACCATATAAGATTAGTGGTTCACTATGGTGAACACAAATGTAGATACTTATATATAATGTGTATATATATAGTGTAATACCAGCAAAAGGAGTGTTGGGAGAAGCCATTTTGGTGAAGGAGGTGGCATCATCTTCTTGACTTGTCATGCTGTGTAAGGGTGACCACTATGCTCTTTGTCCACTATAACTTTGTCCACTGTAAATCATATTTACATTTGAAACTGTGTATGGAGTCAGCCTCCACCACATCATTTCCTAATGCATTCCATATGTTAACTATTCTGACACTGAAAAAGTTCTTTCTAACATCCCTGTGGTTCATTTGGGTACTCAGTTTTCACCTGTCCCTTGTTCGCGTACCACCCCAATGTAGAACGCGAGTTGAGGGGTTTGATTGAGATTTATTGACTAACCCTAACTAGAGCAAATGAAATTTTAAAAAGTTATGCAAGGTTAGGCCTGAAATGCTCTTCATAATTAAAGGACCTTAAATATTAACATTTTAAATTTCTATTCAGTAGTACATATATTGTAAACATTAACTACTTAATATATTAAACAAAACAGGTTATCATAAGAATATCTTACTTATTAAACCAAATACAATTTTGACTCGCCTAACATGATTAGAAACCAATTCTGAAAACTAAAGTTAATTTAATAGTCCTTGTAAAATCCCAGTTGCTTGTACATATCCATATATATATACCTTTCCGCAGTTTGCAGCAATAGGACATGCAAGCCAATAAATATTTTAAAGTTTTGCAGCACTTTTAATAATGTTTTATCCACACAATTTTCTTTATTACTTCAATTAAGGCTACCTATCTGCAGGAGTCGGAAGACTGAGAACTTGTAAATCTGCGACAAACGTCCTAAAACTCAATGGAAACGCTTTCTTTATCATCTGTTCTCGGCCGATAAGTCAATTCTGGAGACGTTTTATGTTTCGCCAGCGTCTCACAATCAAACAAAAGAGGAAATAGAAGGAAAATGAGTGACCGGTACCCACCGAGGAACTGCTGTGTTTACATCTGGGTCGGCACATCAAACGCTCAGCCAGAGTCCACAGTCAACTGACAACCCATCTTCTTTGAGCTTAAAAACTATGTATCAAATAATGTCAAGTCAAATTTCAGATATGGTAAAAACTTAAAAATATATATTGATTGCATTTGTATTTATTTTCAGTGTAGATGAAAAAATATCCGCGAAAATGTAAGATCTTCGGGTGACGTTTCTAAAGTCCCTTCTTGTACAGGGTACATATAAAATAGGTCAACCATTGATCAGTCTTACAGCTTGTTTGAGAAAACCAGCTTCTTTCACATGCCTTTTTGTACAGGATAGACTACAAATATTTTGTTTCTTGAACTTTTATCTTTGGGTTGGTGTATTTCTTTAAAATGAGCTGTAGCCTGCGAACAGCCAAAATTTTGTTTTCATGGAAAAGAAGGTAGTTATACAATTGAATAAATCTCTGGGCCAGGATTGAGCAAGCATTTGCGCAAGAACTTACGCCTGTACATGTTTTCCTCAATCTTTGGCGGCTTTGGTTATATTTACTAAACAGTTTACGAGCATCGAAACTTCAAAGTCATATATGTAAAGATATTTTTCAAAATCAAAATGCTTATTCAGGTAAAAGTACATACATAGAAGATAAGTTACAAACATGATGTTGGATTTATAGATAGAGCTAGTATATACAATACCTAAAGCCACTAATACGCACAGCGTATCGGGCAAGGTTTGGGGAAAAAACAGTTAGACTAAAGAACATATTTATTTTATTTATTTATGCATATACAAGAATGTACATAAGGAATGTGAGGATACAAATATGGTAATTACAGTGTTGTAAAGCCACTAGCACGCGCAGCGTTTCGGGCAGAACAAAGGTAACTGCAGAAGGCCTACTGGCCCATACGAGGCAGCTCCTATCTATAACCACCCAATCCTACTCATATGCGTATGCTTCTTGGGTGGTTGCGAACGTGTCAAAGAACTCAACCATAGACTCAACAGAACAAGAAAGCTATACAAAAAAGCAGCCAAGTGACCGCAACAGGATCTTACTTTGTGAGGTCAAGGAACATGTGCATCGAGAGACCAGACAAATAAAAGAACAAAAGTGGCTGGAATGGTGTTCACATCTGAATGAACACACCTCTCTCTGAGAGATGTGGCAGCAAATTCACCGAGCCAAAGGGAATAAAACACCTAAAGCTCCACACCCCAAGGATCCTCAACAGGAAGCCGAAGTACTGGCAACCAGGTTTGCAGGAAGAGCAGCCAGCAATCAGCTTCCACCAGATGTATTAGCAGTACAGACCGGACTAGAGGAAGAAAGGTGGCACAGAATCCTTACAGCATGTGCAGAAGTCTGACACTAATGCCCCCGTCACACTGGATGAGCTCAATCGGGCTAAGAAAAACTCCAAGGATACATCCCCTGGAGACGACAAAATAACCTATAAAATGATTAGAAACCTCGGCCCAGAGGGAGACGCTGCATACCTAAGGTTAATTAATTTAGCCTGGACTTCTCAAACTAGACCTTCAGCTTGGAATAAAGCAGACATAGTGCAGATCCCAAAACCCAAAGATCCAGCTAATCCCAGACCCCATTTCTCTCCAAAGCTGTGCAGCCAAGACAGCTGACAGAATGGCACTCAACAGACTGGAGTGGAAAATGCCTAAACTGCACCATGATATGTATGCCTATAGAAGAGGGGTTGGCACAGTGGAATGTATTACAACTCTGTTAGCCCACTAGAATGACAGACCAGGAATGCTGATATTCCTGGACCTCGAAAAAGCCTTTGAACTGGCTGACTGGAGGAGTCTTCTCCTCCAGTCAGCCCCGGGTACGACAAATCCTCAACTGCCACGTCACAGGCAGGCTAACACAACAGTGTTCATCCGGGGGGTGACTCAACTCTTCTGCAGCTAACACTTGGAGATTCTACGGCTGCCTTGGGTAGACTGATCCAACGTTCATTACAGCAGTCCCAGGTCGACTCTGTAATCAGACACGTCATCAGTACTAGTTACACTCTAGGGCACCTCACTTACAGGCTTAGACACAAACGCCCACCTATCCACTCCATAGATGGCGTTGCTGTCTAAGCGTCACCTCACCAGAGGTCAGCAGCGGCTGTGTTATGAGCTGATCAGGACGGGAAACCAGCCCTTGTGGCCGGTATTTCCTGTCCTCAATAGATGGCGTCGTCCATTTGGAGAGGGTTTCGGGAGCTGACCCACAGATGGCGCGCTCGTCACTGTTCCGTGCTCGGACGCTGGGCTCGGGTCCGTAACAGGCAAACAAAGTGCTCCTGCACACTCTTTCAATATCCATGGTGAGATTCCGTCCGGCCCAACAGCTTTTCTCACGTCCAGCTCCAATAGGTGCTTCTTGACCTCATCTCTTGTAATTTCGAACCTTTCCAAGGTCGCCTGGTTTGCTGCCACCTCTCCTAGCGCCGTGACTTCTCCTTGTTCTATTGTAAAGACCTTGTAGCGAGTAGATTATCCCAATAATATAATCGCTCCAAATGCATTGTTAATATTCCTGTCAACCTTTGGAGATGAATGAGGTGAGGCGTTGCCCGGGCAACACGGTGAGGTGTTGCCCGAGCATATAAGCAGCAGAATAGCAAACATTAACCAGAGTCAGATTCAGATTCAGATTCAGATTCAGATGTTTATTCAGGTAAGGTATATACATACAAGTGATGTTACATTAATGGATTGATATATAGATAGAGCTAGTACATACAATGCCTAAAGCCACTATTACGCAATGCGTTTCGGGCAAGAAAAACATTAATATCTAGAACTTAATACTAATTGAGCATAAAGAATAAAAGGTGTTGAGAACAAATACAAATAAAGATAAAAAAAAGGGGGAACATGACTGAAAAAGCAGCACAAATACAATAGGTTGACAAACAGTGTTGATTAAAAAAAAAAAAAAAAAAAAAAAGAAAATAACAGACATGGGTTGACAATAGAGGAGTGAGGTAGATTACAGGGAATTTATTAGGTAGTGTTTAGTTTTTATCTTAAACTGGTTGAGAGAGGTACAGTCTTTAACATGGTTGGGAAGGTCATTCCACATTCTGGGCCCCTTGATTTGCAGAGCATTTCTAGTTTGATTAAGACGTACTCTAGGAATATCAAAACTGTATTTATTTCTGGTGTGGTGCTCATGGGTTCTGTTACAACCTTCTATGAAGCTTTTAAGATCAGGATTGGCATTATAGTTTAGCGTTTTATATATGTATAATACACATGAGAGAATGTGCAGTGACTTAATATCTAACATATTAAGAGATTTGAGTAGGGGTACCGAGTGATGTCTGGGGCCAGAGTTGGATATTGTTCTAATAGCGGCTTTGTGTTGGGTAATTAGAGGACGTAAGTGATTTTGGGTAGTAGAACCCCAAGCACAAATACCATAGTTGAGATAAGGATAGATAAGGGAGTAATAGAGAGTCACCAGGGCAGGGCGTGGTACATAATATCTGATCTTAGAAAGAATGCCCACAGTTTTTGAAACTTTTTTTGATATATTTAGAATGTGTCCCTGGAAATTCAGCTTGTGGTCAATGTGAATGCCAAGGAATTTGCCATCTAATTTGTTACAAATTTGGGTATTGTTTATTTTGAGATTTATAAGACTAGAGGATTTATTGCCAAACAGAATATAGAAGGTTTTGTCAATGTTAAGGGTGAGTTTGTTGGCAGTTAGCCAAAGATGGACTTTATTTAGCTCAGTATTTACTGTGGCATTTAGAGCAAGAGGGTCAGGACTGGAGTAAATGAAGGTTGTGTCGTCAGCAAATAGAATTGGTTTGAGGTGTTGGGAGGCATTTGGAAGGTCATTAATGTAGATGAGAAAGAGGAGAGGGCCAAGTATGCTGCCCTGAGGAACACCAATGTTGATGGGTAGGGTGGGAGAAATTGTATTATTCACAGAAACATATTGGAGCCTGTCAGTAAGGTAGGACTCGAGGTATTGTAGGGAGTGTCCTCTGACTCCATAATGATGTAATTTAAGAAGAAGGTTATGGTGGTTGACAGTATCAAAAGCTTTACGCAGGTCCACAAATAACCCAACAGAGAACTCCTTTTTATCAAGAGCTGTATGAATCGAGTTAAGCATACTAATAAGTGCATCGTTAGTGCTTTTTTTGGGTCTGAAGCCATATTGGCAAGGGCTAAGTATATTGAGTTTGGCTAGATATGAGTAAAGCTGCTTGTATATAAGTTTTTCAAAAATTTTTGACAAGTTTGGCAGGATTGATATAGGTCTGTAGTTGTTAACATCTGTGGGGTCACCACATTTGTGGACAGGCGTTACTCTCGCTTTTTTTAGAATATCTGGAAAGGTTTGGAGTTCAAGTGACTTGTTGAAGAGCAAAGCAATAGCAGGGGCTAAAGATCTGGAGGCTTTTTTGTAAATTAAAGTTGGTATCTCCTCAAGGGCACCAGACTTGGTTTTACTACTTTCTACTTTCTACTTTCTACTTTTCTACTTTCAAGTGTGGTCTAGAGCAGACACTTGCGAGATACTGTACCGACGCTCAGTGCGCTCAACTCACACCAAAGTATCACCGGTGTACTTCTGTATATTCGACCAAATATATATATAGTATCTTAGTGTCTGTGTTTATTTGTCACCATACTTTACGTAACAATAGAACCGTTACATTGGTGACCCCAGAGAGTTTCGACGATACCCAGCCACGATGGACTACAACATGGACTCTCACTGGACCTCCACTGCTGCTGCTTGCTGTGGACCGCAGCCACCTGTCATGGAACGTTGCCAACACCCTTGCCACAGCTATGATTTTCATCGCGATCATCTCTGCATTTTCATCTACTACGGCTTGCTGCTCCACGATCACTACTCACTCATCTATAGTCTGTTATTGCCCGAAACGCATTGCGTAATAGTGGCTTTAGGCATTGTATGTACTAGCTCTATCTATATATCAATCCATTAATGTAACATCACTTGTATGTATATACCTTACCTGAATAAACATCTGAATCTGAATCTGGCAGCTTCATCAG